ATAATAATCAATGTAATGAAACAAGCTATATGAATGGTTGAATGTGAAGCTGATGATGTGCCCTGTAAACTTTCACTCAATCCAAAATAAAAGCATTTAATTAAAAAAAAAAATTACCTATGTTAGCTGTACCTTGTCTTAGTCCCACCCAGCTTTGTGTAAAGTACCTCCTCTAAATAAAACAGAGGCGCAGACCGACCCAGGTGTGCATTACAGCGTGGAAGGCGTGTTATATGGCTGACTAGGCATGCGTGGCTGACCAGCTAGCAAGGGGAACGTACTGCCCGCATAGCTAAGATGTTTGCTATGCGGGATCTTACTGCCCTCATAGCTAATATGTTCACCATGCCAGATCTGCCAGACGCCAGCAATGCATCCACTCTGGTTTCGGGGTGTCTCTTTTGTCTCTCTTGTTGTGTCTCTGTGTCTCTTTTGCTATCCCTATCGCCACCAGATATTCCCTCCTCGTGAACCAAACACCTATGTCAAGGCAGGTCCCCTACAACTGCGAAGGAGTTTGAACCTCAAGGTGGCAGTTCAAGCTTACTATCTGCTCCTTGGAAATCCTATACTGGGTTGCTATGGGTCAGAATTGACTTGACAGCACTTAACAACACACCCATCAAGGAAGTAGGGGAAGTTCATGGGGACGGGGTGAAACTAACTTTAAATGAGAATGCTCCTGTAGGGACTAGTGGGCACCATTCGGGAAAGATTGTAAACTCCAAAGTACCCAGTAAAGGGGAAATGGAGGAGGGGCTTTTTCCGAGCTAGGTTAATAAAACTCTTTGTCAATTGGCCACGCAGCGCATCTGCCTGTGTCTACGGGTCTTGGTGCCCAATTTTGCAAAATTGAATAAAGAAAACCTCACTCTTGCTAAAATGAGTACAGATCGTATTACTTGAGTGTTTGTCAGTATAGACAATGTTTCTCATACTGGGAACGTGTTGTTGTTGTTAAGTGCCATTGAGTCTGTTCTGACTCATCGCGACCCTGTATACGGTTTCCAAGGAGTAGCTGGTGGGTTTGAACTGCCAACCTTGTGGTTCCCAGTCCAGTGCTGATCCACAGTGCCACACTGGGAACACAGGTCAGTTGTTTTTCTAGTCAATCGTGGACATGGAGAGTAAGGAGACTTGCTATTCTTACTAAGATTCAGTCTTTTTGTTTTTTGTTTTTTAAATAAATGCTTCTGGGACGGCTGCAAGGCTTTAGTTAATTTCCAGAGTTCTGAAGAAGTTGATTCTACCTTTTTTTTTTTTTTTTTTCATTTTTTTTTTTTTTTTTTTGTCAGTTTTTTTCATTTTTTTATGGAGGGAACTTTTTTTTTCTCAAGATATTAAATCTTTTTATTGACTACACATGATCATGGATGATACATAAATTTCAATCCCATCTATAATTTTATCTGGTACCATTAATTCAAATGAGATATATTGAATGGATGTGCCAACAACCATTTTTATAATCAAATAAATTAATGGCTTAGGTGACAATTTTATGGCGAATTCCAGGTTCTTAACGTAGTAACTGTCAGTTCAGCTACACAGTGGTTTCTGAAAATGGCTTCTCTGCCCCCAAGCAGCCCTCCTGTAAGGTTATATTGTTACAGCAGTTTTAGATTCACAGTCGGTGAAGCAAGAGTTTACGATTTTATTAAGCCGGCTGACTCAGAGGATGACTCAGAGGAGCTAATTTCTCCAAATTCTGAGCCCCGAATAGAGGACAACACGGGTCTATATGGGGTCAGAGTCCAGGGAGGGGCCAGGCTGCATACCTGTTTGAGGGCAAGGGGGAAAACCAGGGGGATTGGTCTCATTTGGTGACCTGATTAGCATTTTAGCTTGCCTCCTGGGCGGGAGAGGGCAGTGACTGGTTTTTACCTTTTCCTATTCAATATAAGTAAATTGAATGGGAATCTGGCATAACCCTGAAGGAATTCTAAACTTCACACTGTGGGGTAGTTTATCAAGATGGCTTCAGAGTAGACAAACTTTACACACACATTTATTCAGTGTCCTGATCAGACAATTACATTTTTATTCAGTGTCCTGATCAGACAATTACATTTAGCGTCAACACCTTGGGTGCGGGGTGGAGGTGGGGGAATCTACATTAAAATCATTGTTGGAATGCTTTATGCTTTCCACAGAACAGAAACTAAAATAACCTGTTACACAATTAGTCACAAATACACCCCTCGAGTTTGTTTGTTTTTTTCCCCATACACATGAGTATTGTCTAAAACATGTCTTCTTTGTAGCAGCTAGGACCTGCCACCACTGTGCTTGGCTGAGTTCACAAATCTGTTGTAACCTGTAGCTTCCCTGCCCCTTTCTGGCTCGCCTCTCCTGCTAAACTTTGTTTCCGGGCAATCATTAAAACCTTCTGCCACTCCCATAGCCACTGCTGCTGCTTGAACCGCCATAGCCACCTTGGTTTCGTGCTTTGGCAAAATATTGACCTCCACCACCATACGGGCCAGAGCTTCTGCCTCCAAAATTTTCTCCCTTCATGGGTCCAAAATTTGAAGATTGATTGTTGTAACTGCCAAAATCATAGCTTCCACCACCTCCAAAATTGCTTCCATCATTCCAAATCCATTATAACCATCTCCACTGCCTCCACATTGTGAGAAATGTTGTCTATACTGACAAACGCTCAAGTAATCCAATCTGTACTCATTTTAGTGAGAGTGGGGTGTTTTTTATTCGATTTTGCAAAATCGGGCTCCCAGCCGCGTAGACACAGGCAGATGCACTGCATGGCCTATTGACAAAGAGTTTCATTAACCTAGCTCGGAAAAAGCTCCTCCTCTATTCCCCTTTACTGGGTACTTTGGAGTTTACAATCTTTCCCGAATGGTGCCCACTAGTCCCTACAGGGAGCGTTCTCATCTAAAGTTAGTTTCACCCCTGAAGAGTCTAATAGGTCAAACTAGTCTCTTCTCAGAGTTCCCTTTTGTCATGCCAACCTGCTACCCGCAAGATATCCTTGATTCTGAAGATGGATCACCCCAACAGCTATTTCTCATAGTATCCACCACCACCACAGCTGCCACCAAAGCCACCTTGTCCACTGAAGTTTCCTCCATGACCAAAGTTGTCATTTCCACCAAAACCACCTCCATGGCCACCACTGAAGTTTCCAGAACCACTTCGACCTTTTTGATTGGAGGAGACACTGGCCATCTTTTACTCAGACAGGGCATTCCTTACTTCACAGTTGTGGCCAGTCACAGTATGGTCCTTCTGAATAACAATCTTATGTTACAAACGCAAAGCCACTGTCTCAGTCTGTCATGATTTCAGTCACTTCAATCTTACCATTCTGCTCAAAAGAATCTCTTAGGTGATGCTCTTTGGTGTCTTCTTTAAGGCCACCAACAAAAATCTTCTTCACAGTTAAGTGGGCACCTGGTCTTTGAGAGTCTTCTCTCGTGAAGCAGCCCTCTTTGGTTCCACCACTCTTCCATACACCTTGTGTGGCCTTGCATTCATGGCTGCAGCCACCTTTTCTCTACAGCAGAGTAAGTGACCAACCCAAGGCCTCTGGGGCGCTTGGTGTTTGGATCTCCTAATACCACATAGTCCGTGAGCATGCCTCAGTGCTCAGAATGGCTCCTCAGGCTCTCATCTGTTGTTTCGAAGCTCAACCCTCTGATGAAGAGTTTCCGCAGCTGTTCGGGCTCTTTAGGAGACTCTGACTTAGACTTACGGCAGTGAGAAAAATAAAAAAACACTAACTATGCTTCCTCTGAGCTGTCCACAAGCAGAAAAGCTGGAGGGGAGACTTTTCAGAAGTCTTTATTCCGCTGCCTTTCCTGACATCCTTCCACCCAAGGTTAGGCCAGAGAAGCAAACAATGGCTTTGTACCTAAAATAATTTTTCTCCTTTCACTGTACTAGCTTGACTGTGTATGAGTACTTTGAAATCATAGAAACCTGACTAGAACAGATACTCTATTAAAAAAAAAATCCCTGTGTCTTAACCATGGTTATGTGCCTTGGAGTCGGTCCAACTTACAACGACCTTGCACAGGGTTTCCGAGGCGGTAAATCTTTATGGGAGCAGAAAGTCTTGTCTTTCTCCTGTGGAACACCTGGTAGTTTCAAACCTTGAAGTTCGCAGCCCAATTCGTAACCACTATGCTACCAGAGCTCCTTTGTCTTAACCATAGATTGTGATAATCTCCTAAATTCAGTGAACCTGTTGTTGTTGTTGTTAAGTGCTGTGGAGTAGGTTCTAATTCATAGCCACCCTGTACAGGGCTTCAGGGTAGTGGCTGGTGAGTTTGAACCACCAATCTTGTGATTTAAACAACCTCGTGGTCCAGGATTTATCCTACAGTGCCACACCAGGACTCCTGCATCCTGTTAAATGGGTACCTATTAGTTCATTATGTGGCTCAAACCTGTCTTCTATAATTGAGCCCTTAGGTATATAAGGAGTTCTAGGCATTCAGCTCCCTACATTCTGATCTCTTATTTTTATTGAACCCTCAGACTTGCTTTTTATCTTTATTGTGGTAAATAAAACACATATCACAAAACTGCCATTTCCAGCATCCTTAAATATACAATTCATCACATTTCACTGTGCTTTGCAACCATCACTGCTTTCCATTTCAGAAAGTTTCCATCACCCTAAACAGAAGCCCATTACCTCATAAGCAGTAACTCTCCATTTTACCTAACCCCACCCCTGGTAACCATGATAGACTTTGATCTGTATGCATTTGCCTTACTGGATATTTCATTTACGTGCAATCATGTAGTATTGGCCCTTTGCAGACTGGCTTATTTCATTCACCATAATGTCAACTTTGCTTTTGATTCACAGTCAAATCCACAGGTGCTGTACCATACCTGATGGAATTCAGAACTCTGGGAAAGGGGCTGATGTTCAGACAGCTGATGTCACACAGCCTGGGTCCTGGTTGGTATAAAAATTGGAGCTAGACGGTGGCTGTTCCTCTCCTAACTCTTAGATCTTAATTAATCCTGAACAGATAACCACAACGTTCTCAAATTAGAGGTTTGAGAAATTCCTGAGAAGATGTCTGATTCCCTAAAGTTGGTGTTCATTGTGATTTTTCTGTACAGTTGGCCTTCACCCAGTTCTGAAGAGTCAAAATGTGGTAAGTATGCTTGATAGGTTAATTTTTCCTTCTGACTTATTTTCTTACAATATCAGAGTGCTTGATTAAACAAATGACATATTCCAAACAAACTGGATTTCTAGGAAGGATTTAGGAAGGAAAATGGTAGAGGAAGGCCTATGGTCTACCACAAAGACAGAGAGAGGGATGGGGGCTTCTGGAAACCTGGAGTATGCAGAGCACTTCTGTCTCTGGACCTGTGGAAAGGATTTGGCTGGAAGCTCCCAGCAATCTCCTTAAACCCTGAGGTTGTTGTTAAGTACTGTGGAGTCGATTCCGACTCATAGTGACCCTGCACAGGGTTTCTGAGGCTGCAGATCTTTATGGGAGCAGAAAGCCTCATATTTCTCCCTCGGGACAGCTGGTAGTTTCGAACTGCTGACCTTGAGGTTAGCAGCCCGATTCGTAACCACTATGCTACCAGATGACCCAGTTATTCGGGAGGAAAGCCACTAGCTCAACCACTAGCAGGCCCCTTTGCTGTCCTGACAGCCTCATACGAAGGAGAGATGGAGGTTCTGCCCACTTCTCTCCTCTGATGTTCCTTCTCCCTGGATTTTGTATTTCAGTTCTTTCTCATCCACCAACAAACCCTTGGCTCCAATCCTGGGCCTGCTTAGGCTGCTCAGGGACGATTCGCTTCTGTTAGACGCCTAAGGATCAGAGTTTGGCTTTCCTTCATATTCTCCCAAGTGCGTTGAGGTGGTTGTGTGTATGCGCTGACAGGGCAGCTGATTCATGACTGGGCCTGCACTTCTCTTCCTAGAAACCTGTGCAACATTTGACCTCAAGACAATCATCCTGATCAGTATCGGGAGCGGCATCCTGCTTGTAGTACTTGTGCTGATGGGGCTCATCATCAAGCTTTACTCCAAAGTGGCCACCTCAGCCAAGCCAGTCACGTGAGTCACAGTGGGACCCCGGGGCTCTCTGACCACACCCAGGGCAGTGGCTTCACTGGAGGTGATCACCCAGTGTGGCAACTCATGATGCTTCCCCTTCCACAGGCCTCCTGACATACCTGACCACACAGCGTCCTTCGTTACATTTACTATCAATTTTAATCATAGACTGTTGTTGTTCAGTGCCGTCGAGTCAGTTCTGACTCACATTTCTGAGGAGCGGGTAGGGACTTTGAATCAGCGACTTTGCAGCTCAAACTGACCTTGCGGTCACGTGCTTATCCTTCATTGCTGCACGAGTGTTTGTTCCATCCTGGTGTATTATATTGTTGTTAAATGCTGTCCAGTTGGTTCCAAATCCTAGCAACCCTATATAGGATTTCCGAGGAGCAGCTGGTGAGTTTGAACCACCAACCTTTCGGTTCAGTGCTTATTCTACAGCGCCACACCAGGGCTCCAGTCATAGACTAATGTGTGGTATAAATCATAAACGGCTTCAATGTAATAGTCCTTCTTGTTGTTGTTAAGTACTGTCAAGTCATTTCCAACTCATAGTGACCCTGAATAGGATTTCCAAGGAGTAACTGGTGGGTCTGAATTGCCGACCTTGCAGTTAGCAGTATGCTTATCTGACAGTGCCACACCAGGACTCCATTATATTAATAACAACAACACATTTGCTTTCTAAAACCTTTCTATATTGAATTATAACATTCCTGGTAACTTAACAGTAACAGTAAAAATGTAAATTTTATTCTCCTTTTCCTTTAATTACTAATTCTCAAAAAAAATTATTGATATGTAATCAGCAGTAAAGGACTTGTTGGGGGATGGGGTGAGTGGGTGGAGGAAAAAAAAAATAGTTATTGATATAGATTCACAAATACTAACTACCACAATGTTGTAGCTAAACCCCCCAAATCTGTGACTATAAAAACACCATCTATAATGAAAACAACAGTGCATGTTAGTAGCGTATGCAGACAAAACCAGGTGATTTGAAGCTTCATTGTAATTGGGTTTAATGACAGTTCTGACCAGAACACCTTAGAAAATTCAGAAGGTAAACGAGTGTTGATGTTAGCCTTGCAAGTATATTCATATATATAAGCTGAACTTTTGAAAAATGTTTTGTTGTTATTGTTATAACTAGCTACAGGGCTGTTTTTATATAAAAATAAATGTATTCTGAAATACCGCACAAAAAATTGTAAAGACAGGCCTTTTGATGTTACCCCTCTGACAGTATCCCTCTGTGTTGTGCTCTCCATCCCCTCTCACCCCTGGCCCCATCTACTGATGCCTCTGGCCTGGGCGAAGTCAAGAAGAGCAGGTAGGTTTGAAAAGGAGAGGCAGGTTAGTTGGAATCTTCATTTTATTCTGTTCTAGTTTGGGATTGTGAGCTCAGGAAGAATGTTCTCAGCCTTTGGGCTCTATGACTTAGCTCTGTTTTACTTCAGTGATTTCAAATACCATATTTTAATGTAAATATTGCATGTAGTATGGTGTGGTTATGTAAGATAAACACTGGACTGCAAAACACAAGATCTATGGTTCAAACCCACCAGTCACTATGAGTCGGAACCAACTCAAGGGCAATTAATAACAACAATAGTCTGTGGTTTATACAGTTTTCTGCAAACCATGCAACCCCCGTGCACGCTAGTCCCCTATGTCTCTACTCATGTTATTTGAGTGTGTATGTTATTTATGCATGCGAAAGCTGGACAGTAAATAAGGAAGACCATAGAAGAATTGATGCATTTGAGTTATGGTGTTGGAGGAGACTATTGAAAGTGCCATGGCTGCCCATAGAACCAACAGATCTGTGTTGGAAGAAGTGCAGCCAGAGTGCTCCTTGGAGGCCAGGATGGCCAGACTTCGTCTCTCATACTTCAGACATATTGTCTGAGTTGATGGACTCAAACACTGCCCAGCATCGGTCAGTGTTTCGTTCTGCTGTGCATGAGGTCACTATGAGTCACTATTGACTCGATGACACCTAACAACAACAACGTTATTTATACAAAAGGAGCTGTAGTAGCATAGTGGTTATGAACTGGGCTGCTAACCTCAAGGTCAGCAGTTCAAAACTACCAGCTGTTCCGCAGGAGAAAGATGAGGCTTTCTGCTCCCGTAAAGATTTGCAGCCTCTGAAATCCTGTGCAGGGTCGCTATGAGTCGGAACCGACTCCATGGTAATTAACAACAACAAATTATATGCAAAACTATGGTTCATTGAGTTTCCTATAAAGGGTTTGATGAATTCCTGGGTGGTGCAAATAGTTAAGCACTTTACTAGTAGCTGAAGAGTTGATGGCTCAGGCTCACTCAGAACCAGCACCTTGGGAGACAGGCGTGGTGATCAGCTTCCGAGAGGTCACAGCCTTGAAATCCCTGTGGAGTCCTTTTACTCTGCACACATCGGGTCACCTGGAGCCACAATTGGCTTGGCCGCAACTAACAACAACAATACCTATTGTTGAAATCAGCCCGTGGGCTGAGCCGCCCCTGTCCTGGGCACTGTAGACTGAAGAGGCGGAGTGAGTGGCTTCTACCGTGTATTCACTCAGATGATGGGCTGACTTGATCTCTTACAAGTACTAGGGATTCTCTCACTTGTTGACAGCTGTGTAGAAACAATAAGGCGGGTCATTATCCTATGGGAAAGCTAGGCCGTGTGAAGATTCCTAGCAAACACCCAACAAGTGGTCAGTCCAAACAAGAGATAATTGGGGAGAGGAACCTACACAGATGAGACAGTGGCAGTTGGTAGCAGTCTTGCTCACACTGAGCCTGTGAGTTGTAGGGCAGGTCCCAGAGCCCTGGGCTGTGGTGGATAGTGACACCCTCCCCAGGCCTGCTTTGCACCTCATGAGCCTGCAGGGACCAGCTGGGTGACCCATGCTTGTAACTCTCTGCACCTCATTTGCTGGAACCTGGTTTTCCATTTATAACAACATTAGGAGAAAAAGTAATTAGACAGGATCGCAGGGAAGGGGTAGAGAGCTTAGACCTAGGGCTGGAGTCACATGTTGGATTGACTCTAGGTCTTAACTTCCCAGAAATGCTTGAAAATTGTAACCGATTTAGAACGAAGTAGGTCTGACGTTCTGTGTATGTCTTTTCTTAAGACCTGTTGTAAAGACCTGCTTTGCTGTGCCCTTGACGACGAGTAACTCAGATGATGATGCCCAGACCACATGCGCCACTCCTGAGCCTTCAGCCACCTTCCAGCTCTGTCAGGAATGCAACATGTGTAGGGCCTGTGACCCCCTCCCACCTTGCTTCTGTGACATAAATGAGGGGCTCTGACCCGGGTACAGTGGGCATGCCAATATGAGGAACAATATTTCTTTCTTAGTAGAATGTTTTATTATTCAAGTTCTATAGTATTTACCTTACATTGTGTACTATATAACAGTATTTTTATATACTTTTGAATAAATGTGCAGTACTGAAAATCATCTTTTTGTCTCTAATATGTTTTTGTTGTTGTTGCTGCTGCTAGTTATAATTCTGCCTCCCCCCTCCACCCCCCCCACCCCCGCCCACTTGTCTGTCAGTTTGTCGTACTGTGGCTTGTGTGTTGCTGTGATGCTGGTAAACTATGCCATCAGTAGGGTCCCCCCAGTTGAACAGGTGTGGTGCAGTGCATTATTTAATTTCCTCTCTATCCATAGTCTTTGTAAACTCCCATCAAATGGCTATTTCCTGATGGGTCTGGGTAAGAAAAGATGGGGGAAGGTGCCAATGTATTATGTGAGTCAGGTATGAGTGATTGCTGACAGGGCGAATTGTGATTGGTCAAGTTTGCCATCCTGTTGGGTATAAAATGAGTCATCTCAGAAGCAGAGGGGAAATTTTCTGCTACCAGCAGAGAAGAATCAGGAGGGGAGTATATCTTTGGTCCCTGAGATCCCTGCAAACTGAACCTTTTTGACCCAGGGACAGAGACCTTTGGCAATGGAGTCGGGAAGAGAAACAGCAGCTGCAGAGTGAAGAAGCAGAGCACCAGACAGAGCAGTGCTCTTTCCAGCCACAGAGCAAATAAAGCTGAGTGACTTCGGGCAGGAGGCTTTCCTGCTCAGAGAGGCAGGTGCATTCAGGCACTTAAGGTATGCGGACTCACAGCCCGAGGGATATGGTGGAGTAGTGTGCCCTGTGGATATTTATCAGCTACCCTCAAAGAGCTTTGTAACATGCCCTGAGCAAGGCACAGGCCAGACCAAGGGGCCAAGGGCCATAGAGAAGCCTGCTTGCTGCAAGGCTGAGAAAAGAATGGTGTCCTGAGCATTTCAGGTCCTGACTTGTAACTTCCCTACTTAGCCCCATCATTGTGAGTATGGTGTCTTTGAGTCCTGTGTAAAGTTGCAATGAATTATCAAACCCAGCTGTGGCACGGTGGGTGGGTGTCGTGTTTTGCATCAGATTTCAGTGGAACTTCCAAGACTAAGTATAGACTAGTACAAGGGTGGTTCACTTCAGACAGAGTAAGCACTGACAAACCTTACGAATCGCAGAGGGACGCTGTCTGATATAGTGTCCAAAGATGAGCCTCTCAGGTGGGAAGATAGTCTAAGTACAAATGAGCAAGTGTGGCCTCCTCAAAGTACAGTCAACCTTAATGACATGGATGGAGCCAAGCTCTTGGAACCTTCTTTTGCTGATGGTGCATGACTCAAAATAAGAACAGCTGCAAATATCCATTAATAATCAATGTGGAATACACCAAGTCTGAATCTAGGAAAATTTTGAAAGTTATTATAAATGAAATGGAATGCATAAGCATCAAAATCCTGGACATTAGTGAGCTGAAATGGACAGATACTAATAATTTTAAATCAGGCAATCATGGAGTTCACTATGCCAGGAATAACAAATTCAAGAGGAATGGTGTTACATTCATTATCAAAAAGAACATTTCAATACCAGCCATGATGTATAATGCTGCCTGGAACAGGATGATATCTATATGCCTGTAAGGAAGACCAGTTAATATGA